CGAGATTAACAATTTGTGCTAATAGAATTCTTGTAATTAGTGGGAAAGCTTTAAAAAACATTAAAATAAGAGAAAAAATAAACGTGACTGAAATTCATATAGTTATTTAACCTTTAGACTTCAAAATTGATAACATCAGAATAAAATATCAGATTCCGATTGCGATCTCGAGCACGTACTCTCGGGTAATTTACGCACAAAACAGATCTATACCATTTATCTGATCACGCCGACTAGAAATAGATTTGAGAATACATGGTTGATCTCCGTTCTATCGTTAGATACTTCATTCGACTATATCTCTATAATACCCTGTTTCCTGGCATTCTTATTGCACGCAAAATAACCGTGGTTAACTCGACACACAGCATACTTTATCTCGGCTCGCCCAAAGAAATTGATAATAGCGCCTTTTTTGAGCCTTCTCTTTCTTTCTGTCTGTACAGTTGCTCTCTTCGTTGCGCGCAGTAACCTAATTATAGAATGGAATTGTTATCTAACGACTACACGAGTAACGGCGCTTACGCATTTACGTAATCTTACATTTCGCGTCGTCCGATAACTTTTTTTTCTTACCACCCCGCAAATATTAGTACGCGAGCACGCAATAAAATCTAACGATCCTTCTCGCTTTCTCATTCTACTTCTGCGTCTCTCTATTTCCCTCTTCGTCAATCGCGTTATCGACCGCACGATGCTCGTGTATCGTTTTGCGTCAAACAGCATGACGAAGCTGATTGCATTTCTTGAAAAGTGCGCGACGATATCTAACAGAAATAGGGCGTTCGAGATTTCTGAGGGATAGAAATAAATGTACTAAATATAGAAATCGAGAAAAGAAGCGAATTATCACTTTTTAATCAAGTTAATTACTAATTTAATAAATTGCTAATAAGAATAGATAAAAAAAATAGATAATAAATAAATTCTTTTATATATATATATATATAAACTGTATGGATATAACATTCCAGAATAATCACTATTACCGTAAATTCTAGACAGAATGGTTATCATATATATTTAAAAAATATTGTACATATGATAAGCGCATGCGTTTGTATTGATTCGCATAGGCTGAAATATTAATGAATGCGCGTGCTAAGAGATATAGTCCTTTAATGGATGATTAATAGCATATTTGCATGAAGCAAGTTAGTTATATTCTTACAAATATCAATAGAGATACCAACACGACTGAATTGTGATGTAATCAACATGAATTGATTAAACGACGTCTATTAATTGTTCGTTATCTTTGAGCAACTTGACAAAGATACACGATTGAAAATTTTCATCATAAAATCTTCGCGTATTTCATATACGATTAAATATTTGTGGGGTTAACAATTTACGCTTTCGGATAATAACATCCGATTCTAGGATTCTAATGTTTACACTAGATGTTTAATAATAGACCGATTTGGCACTCACGATTTACACGTTCGGATAATACAATAACATCCAATTCTAGGACTTCAGTGCTTCTATACTAAATATTTTCTAATAGACGGATGGGATAGTCTACCTGCAGCTAAAATGATTTGTAGCCGAGCGAAATTTAATTCGACGCCATACACTTTCTCAGTCTTTAAAACATTAACATAATATGTTAAACATTAACATAATATTTGGTAGAGCGTTATACATGACATACGTATCTTTCAAGACGAAAAATGTTGTCAATGTACAATTCATATAATATTAATCGATATGAAAAAGATTTATCTTCTGAAACGCACATCAGAACTTTCCTTTCTTCGAAACGCAAAATCTCTATTTTTCTATTATATAACTTCTAATAATACAAAGAATCGCGCTACGTAGAAACATTCCTACCGGACCAACTCAGAGTTAAAGAATTTGTATTGTCTAATGTACTTTGTCCCCAAGTTTCTTGTGTGAAGCGCATTGCTTCAATGCATTAACCGTTGCCGGTGCAAAACTGTTATTTTTCAATCTATGTGAGCTGTTACAAGCCACAATATTTCATTCTATTAAAATCTTCCACGTGCTCTCATGTACGTGCTGTAAATTTTTATCTCAAAATTAAAAAAGTATTTTTCTAGCATTTTCTGAGACTCTCCGCAAATAACAACAACTTTCGACGCAACGTCATAAAACTTCTAATCCTAACGACATATATTTTCTCGAAAGCATGTGCACTAAATGCGCTTATCGGACAGTGTACCAGTATATCCATGCTCACCGACACAAATCTCTTTTAAATTGATTAGAGATTTTTTTTATCGCACTTATCGCGTTGCATACGATAACAAGCCCAGATTGACACACGAGGAATTAGTAATACACTTATGTCGAACGAATGCAAAGAAATTCCAAGAGTGATATTTCATTCGCCGTTGACAGAATTCAAAAACATAGAGGCAGCGGAGACGGTCGCGATTACGAGGGCAATAAGTGACGTTATTTCGCGCAGATGTGCGAATTAGTGAATGCAAATGAGGCCGGACGGAAGAAGATAGAAGGAGAGTCGAAGACAGCGACTCGCAGATGGGCGTCTCGTACTCGCAACGTGCCTCTTTTACACACATGTCGCGATGGAATGTTAATGAGTGTAAAATAAAAAGAAATATTGCCCTGTAAACTAAATTTTATTAACATTGTAATTCGGCAAAGCTCATATATTGCAAACAACATTCTTACAATAAAGTAGAGATATTGTTGCTGCAATTGACGAGTACGAGATTTGCATTATTTTTAATTTTCAAATCCCGAGAGAGATTTTCGCTCGCGAAGAGATTCATTATTCAGATTAAAAATTTCCCGGCGTAGCTTCAGAAGTTTGTCTGCAGAAGATACCAGAGAAAGTTAGAAATATTTTCTTCTGTCAATGAAATGAGATAAATTATTAAAGTATCACCTTGTATAGATGAAAAATTAACAATGTTACACCGTAATGATGTAAAGTCGGTACTTTACATCATTTCGGTAAACAACGTAGTTTGCACAAGAAACCTTGAGACAAAGTGCACTAGACGTGTCACAAATTGCTTCTCAACTCTAAGTTGGTCTGCTAGTAGAAGCTTGTCTATTGTTAGTCCTAATGGAGTTTGACAGTAAGTATCAAAGTTCTTTAACAAAATAAATGCTAAACTAATCTATTATGGACGCTAAATCATAATGCAGACAAAAGTTTTGAAACAATTTTTAAGTGAATAAATATACCGTATTTACCAAAGTCGATAAAACGCAGAGACAGACCTCAAATAATCCTTATTTACTTTTTATTTTTACAAAATGTAACACCTGCCAAATGTTAGCTATCATTTATTGAACATCGTTTTTTATTTTTTTATTACGTATATTTCTTTTTATATCACTGTGATAAAGATTATAGTGTATATCAACATTTTATGACATCTGAGATATACTCAGAATATTCCGAAGTTTTATTAGAGACAATTACACGCATATTCTCGATTATTTATGCTTGCTGGATTATCTAATATTTATTTACCCGTTAATTAAGATGTCAAATAAGATATTTAACGGAAATTTTTGTACGTAATAAAGCGGTAATAAGGTGGATCCTTTTAATTATATTCATGTTCAGTTTCAGTCATTTTTAACCATTCCTTTAGGTCGCTGCTATTCCTACTCTAGATATATGTCGTTAATTTAACTAAAGCAATGTTAGTTTAACTAAACCAATGGAATTAAAATAATACTGTTTTGTGTTAAAATAATAAATTTCGACACACATGGTAGTTAAAAATAACAAAATGTTATTTACCTCAAGATGTTGCTTTAAAATTCATCCTTTAATATTTAACAGTGTTGCATTAATACTACCGTATTATTATCACGGTTAATAAAGAGCGTACCGTGTATCGCAACAAAAATATTATATTACGTTAGAACCTGAAATAGAATTAAAGTGCTATGTGTCACGCCTCATCGGCAGGATAAACAAAAAGACGACAGTTCAAAATAAACTGGCGCGTTTGTTTCAAAGCAATTTATCGCGGAACTTGAAAATAAAGCGTTCGGAATTTTAATAACCGTTTCGGAATTCGGAGGCGGAACTCTGTAACTCTTTAACTACAGCTTTTTCACCATATATAATACTTGCACAACGATACCAAAACTGTCGTTAAGAAGTTAGAGAATATCCCGCTATACACAAGTGACGTAATGTCAACCGAACAATGTATGACTCCGAGACAATCGGCTCAAGAGAGGGGCGCGGTGCGGAACTTCATTAACATGAAAATAACCGTGCGTTTAAACGTCGCGCATTTAAATCAAGATAATTCGAAAACGAGAAACGAGGCCTCGAACTCTCGAGCCTCGTCTCAAGACGACGTGTCCCGCGACACGTACGCTCCAAAAGGGTTCGTCTCGGAACTCGGAGCGGAACCGCGACGCGAGGTGAAGAGCGAACGAATGTATTAATTAAATCGCATGCAATGCGCCGTTTTTGTCGCATGCTTCGCGTAACGATCAATCGTTACAAAATGCCGCTTGAAATTGCGCGGAATGTATCCGCGGCGAAGCTACAAACACTTTGGGATACAATCTAGAGAAAAAAAGGAGAGAAAAAAAGGAGATGTTTTGAATGAACGGCCTCAAGACGTCGCAGAAGCGTATTCCGGAGCGATTTGCATCGAAACTCGTCGGCGCGCGGCGCGGCGTGCCAAGAGAGACGGAGGCGCTCCGGAGTCCGGAGCGAGACCGGAGACGAGACGCGCCGGAACGCGGGACGGGAGGAGGATCAGGAGGGACGAGCGCCGCATTGGCACAGAGGGAGAGTGAGCGCCGGAGGAAGGGGCAGGTGGGGAGAGGCGTCGCGACTCGCGCGTCAACGAGCGCGATGGGGTAAGGGTAAGGCGCCGTGCCACGAGAGAACGAGAGAGGGAGAGCCAGCCCGGTCTAGGGACTGGGAAGAGAAGAGAAAGGGAGGGAAAAGAAGGGAAGGGGGACTAGGGGGAGCTTTTTCGGTTTTTAACGACATCCGAGCGCCGCCGCCGACGGCCGACGTCTCAGCGGTCTCAGTCCTCAGTGCCCGTCCGACTCGCGATTCGTATGTACGTTCGGTTCTCGTTTTATTTTTCTTCTCTCTCGCGCGTGCTTTTGCCGATTTAATCGAAGCTAAACGGTCTGAGAGGAGGCAGAGAAGTCGTTATTCAGGACTCAGAACGCCCTTCTCCCTCCGCCAGACAGTGGCGCTCGCAGTGGTCCTCAGGATCGGGACGTGGTGCGGTTCGTACGATTGCCCTTAAAGCCGATTGACCGAGGGTTGAATCCGGTGTGAATCGTATATTGTCACAGTGCCGAAATCGCGGTGAATATTCTGCGGAACTTCTGGCGAGACGTGTTTTTCACTCGAGTGAGAAAAGAACTCTATGTAAAACGATCCAATTGATAATAGACGATAACTGATTCGAATTAACGACAATTGATAATCGTGCAAGAGTTTATATTCTCACGGTAGTGCTGATTGGCGATAAGGAAGACGCACGCACTCTCGGAGCGACCTGCCTGCCGACCTGGTGCACCTAATTCCTATCGGTAAGAGGGGACTACGCGCCACGTCGACTGAAGCGAGGAAGGAAATGCAAACCCACGCGCGCCGGCTCGCGATAAATCTCTCGCATATCGAGTTTTCCTGTCAAGGAAGTCCGATTAAAATTCGAGAGAAAGATATCAGATTTCATTTAAAAAATCTATTACATCGAGATGTAATTGAAATTTATCAAGAATGACTCAACGAATTCGCCATATGAATAGAGACTCGAGATCTGCTGGGATCTTAGAATGTGAAATTTCTTTATTTATTTATTTATTTCTATGTGATTTTAATTTCTTTCCTAGGAAACTATAAGAATAATATTGAGATAATGTAATTTATTTGTATTTATATTATCAAATTACAGTATTAAAATACAGAACTTAAAATAAAAACGCAAAATTTTTAAATCAAGAATTTAATGAATATCTCTTAGACATTCTTGTTGTTAAGGGTAATATTTAACGTTCTTAAAAATTGTTTTCATTTAAAACTTTTTGCAACATATCTTAAGTAGAGGATCTCGAAATTAATTTGCGTTTAAGTACTTTAATTTGCCGCTGAGAAAATCCCAGAAAATAAAAAAAATATTGGAGAAAGAAATTATATGCATTTGAAGATCAAGAAAAAACATTAATTCGAATTTGCTTATGATAAAATTAATATATATTTTTCGTAGACACCCTGTATGCAGGCACACGTTGTTCGCCAAGTGTCCAATGCTCCTATAAGTAAACCCAGTCCTGACATACAACGTTCCTCCACATGCGTAGTCCTTTTCTTCTTTTTCGTTCTTCCTCTCTCTTTTGCGCCGCTTTGGCGAGAAACGGGTCTCGAAACACGAATGAACAGGTTAAAATACGGACATGTGGACGGACGTGTATTTTAATGCATTTTAAACCGCCACGTTTTCACTACCGTGACGGAATGCGCGTGCGAGAGAAAGAGAGAGGGGGGAAAGACAAAAAGAGTAATCAATATTTAATATCTTTTTAAAAAGTAAATTCAAATAAATACAATAATTATTTTTTCTAAATATCCGAAGCAATCTCTATACATGACTAAAGAGAATCGCTTACGTAGCAAGCGATTGAATTACTTTTAAATAACACACTCAATGTAACACTAAATCAGCAGAAATTCTATTTTATTCTTCACTGTCGACACTTCTGCAACGCTAAAATTTAATGGTATAATCTTTTTCTTTTCTTGCTGCTATTTTTATGTACTCCGGAAAGAGCACGCGAAAATAATAATTTGGAAACAATTTTAATAATTATGTGTTTCAGTGAAACTTCACGATCTCTTTGAAAATAATTTCTATAATTATATTTATAGATATATTGATTTTCGAAAATGCTCCAGACATTCTTCGACGATGATTCGTCAAGAAATCCGTAACTGGAAACTCGTATGCGAGCTATTTTTGTAACATTCCATATCCACTTCTTTCTTATCGCAGCGCATAAATGCAGAGACGATTAACCCATGCAGTTATCGCGTTTCATACACTGACACTGTAGTTTCTAATTCGGAACCGTAACGCAATTTCAACGATAACATTGCGAATGCGAGAGTTATACGTTTCCTCTCCGGGCCCGAAATGACCGGAATAGCTTGAGGATAATTTTGGAACACCACCATCGTGGATTCCTGATCCTTATTACTAGCCCACGCGCGGTCTAGAGGGAACCAGGGAACGCGCTTTGATCCCAAAATCCACAGCCTATTCTGCATGCGCAATAAACGTTTGTCGCAATATAACCGTGAAATTAATCAATCAAAATGATTCATCAAAATAGCTATCCAGCACGCGGTCTCGGGAGAAACACTGTACTATAAACTAGGAAAAACTAATTTCAATTTATTAACATCGTGCGCGATGTCATCGCACTTGCTATCGCATTTAATATATCTATATATTCTATATAAAGAATATAGATAATATTCTAGAAAATAATATTCTATATAAAGAATCTATACCCCCCTGCTTTCTCTTTTACGTTATCTTTTAATATTATCTCTCAATCCCCGAAAGAATAACATACCATTACATTGTCATTATCTGTTTATACACCTGATAGGGAGTACCTTTCTGTTCGTATATCTGACGAAAAAGCATGATGGGGGAACGTGATGGGCATGTTTCTTTTCGACTCCAATGTATTTTTCATTCTGATGTATAACTTAAACTTAAAAAATAACTACCTTAAAAATAAGCGATATGAGACAACTGTCTGAAGTCGGTTTCCATAATCTTGCCAAGCCTCGAAATTTATGGCCTCCGAAGTCTTTTCAATTCTCCGTTAGCTCATCGATCCTCGGAAATGTCCAGCATCCTCCGAGGACGAGCCTTGCCAGGCCTTGCCGGGGCTTTCAGACACACCCTGTATGTCGTATCGATCGCTCGCTCACTCGCTCGCTCGCTTCCTCCGCTTCTTACTATCGCACGTGGGTTACAATCGACAGAGGTGGTCAACCTTCGCGAGTTTGCCGGTCGTCGCTTTTTCCGCGGATTCCTTGGCGCGCTTTCAAGCCGCGTGTTTAACGTTAAATGGGGACGCCGCGTCTGATTTTTTTGCTCCACGCTGGCATTGGGCGCAACTTTCATGTTACACGCGCGAAATTACGGGATTGGGCGTGTGCGAGACGCGAAATCGTGTAAATCCATTCTGCGACTTAAATAAAGCGCGAGCTTGTAATTTATATTTACGTAATAGTCCCATAGTGCCTATACGAAGTGTTTATCAGAAATTATCAGAACCGGTTATACTCCGTTCCTCTCTTTTAACTCTACACGTTATATATAAATATAATTTATTGAGGATTATTATTGACAGATAAAAGTGAAAAATGGTTCGCCTTCTATTATCGGTCTAATTTCGATAAGTCCATAAACAAAGACAGAAGTCTATTTTAGAACGAGGATGATTTTCTATGTCTTCCAAAGAAAATGATTCAATGATTTGAGAAACAACTTCATGTCAAATTTGTTCGAAAATATTGCAGCAATATATTTATCTATCTTTATCTCGATATTATTTCCTTCCTTTTTGCGTTTTATTTTCGAATGTACTATTACTGTCAACAGTTTTATCCTACTTATCTCTTAATTAGTTCGATAAGAGAGATTCGATAAAAATATATCATAATATCCAGCTAGACTCTGACAAAGAGTAAAAAAAAAACGAAGAGTGAAGTTCAGAGAAAAATAGAACACACCATTCTTTACTAACAATCAGATTTCAATAAATGAAATCGAAGTTCTTGGATGGACAATTCAAGCACGAGTAATATAGTTCCGGTATATTGATGATCAAAGTCCAGTTACACGATCGCATCTCGATCAATATTGCGAAAAAAGGAAAAGAACTCGAAAGGGACGCAAACAAAGAATGAGAAAGATTATATCGAACAATTGGCCACCCCTGTTACACGCTCGGTACATCGGTCGGCCACGTGAACGCGATACCCATCTCTTTGACGTATTTTCTTCGTTTTGTTTACACACCGACCATCATCATTGCGATTCGTTGCCGCTACGGCGACAACGATGACGGCGACGTCTGTTACGCTTAAATGACTGGAAATACACACTGGCTTTACGTAATGCTGACAATGCGATATCCTGCGAATCGCTCTGATACCTCGGAATTCCCCCGTCGTTCCGCCCCATCGTTCCCGCGATCTCTACCCCTAAATGCGCAGCTATAAACGCGTGACGTTTATCTTCCGAGGAACCATGGATTAAAATAATCGTCAAGTTACGAATCTGCGAATTGGAAGGGACGAGATATGTATTACGATTTTGTTTCCCATTTAAAACGTTAAATTCAATTGCGCAAAACTATTTTAATTTTTTACATTTAATTAAACCGTACATCACGTGCGTATATGTTAATCGCATAGCGCGCACTCATTACGATGACTTAGAATAATGCACATGATTCAAAATTGTTTAAAAGAAAAGTGTACAGAACAATACAGAAATAACTTGTGAATGAATTATTTATATCGCAACAATTGTACCGATTAGCTCGCAATGGACGAATATAGATAACGAATATGTAGAACGTATCTGTTAGTTTTTTCCTCCGGATAAATTATTGTTGCATGCTCGTTATATGCTGTCTTAAAATCAAGAAAACAATTGACCTTTATTTAACTTGTTTACATGTGAAAGAAAAAAAAGAGAGTTCAAGCAATTAAGAGTTATTATCGATCGGAATGACGTATAGAATTTTTCTTTTTTCGCTTTTCAGATTAAGATTATGAGTTCCGAGCCGTGGACCTTGCCTCCGAAGCAAGGTCTATATGACCCTACCCTCGAACGAGAGGCTTGCGGCGTTGGTTTTATCGTCGCCATTGACGGGAAGAGGTCGCACAAGGTGAGTCAATTTTGAGTTTCGTCAGTCTTTTACACGTAAAGTTCAAAGAACGACCCACATCTCTTGAGTGTCGCGCGTTTGATCTTTGTAATCTATTATAGATGTACGTTCGTATTTTTTGCCTTGTGTCACACAGCATAAAACGAATAAAAAGGTGTAATAAAGATAAGATAAACAGCTAAATGCGGAAAATAGTACATAGCATACTAATGAGTTTTTATAGACAAATATATCGAGGAAAAAATTCAAAATTGTGGATAATAAAAAGTTTCGAATAATTACGTTGGTATTTTAAAGTTGCAAAAGCTTATATAAAGGGTTATATAATATTGAATTAAGATCCCAAAATTGCGCATAATTTTAAAGATAAACGCCGCTTGAAACTTATGCAGAAAAACGATAAGACAGATAAAACAGGAATATAAATTAATGAAATGTATATCTGAGAGAAAGAAACAAGAGTTCTCCCCATCTTAGAGATAAACAACTCATTGATAAATGCATGAATTACGATTTTGGGATCTTTTAAGAAGATTGGATCGGTTTTCTTATATCGTTTTATTTGCGAATTTCAGATCATTCGAGATGCTCAGACTTTGTCGGCGCGAATGAATCATAGGGGGGCATGTGCCTGTGATAATGACACTGGTGACGGTGCCGGTGTGCTTTGCGCAATACCGCACGATTACTATGCCAATGAAATTCGGTAAGAAAGTCAGTCTGTCCCAGCGACATGCTAAATCTTATTTCGACGAGATCCGTGCTTACTTTCTAAAGCTTTTATAACTTCTGATGTATATCCAATCCATGATATCCATGAATTTTCGCCCAAGCCAAGTGCCTGTGTCACATTTACGCTGTTGTCCGACTGAACTAAAAATTTAATTTCAATTTATTGTTTGAATTAAATTTTGAAGTAAATTTAATTCAAAAATACAAATCGTAATACCATTATGAAAATCAGAGGATCACGTCTTGTACCTTGATTACTGTTGTATTAGTTTCGATTTTGATATCCTCGCATTTTTTATTCAAAATTTTGATATTGATTATTATTTAAGGTTGAGAACATTTTATAAGTAACTGACTGCAATCAGAAGGATGATTACACGTAGTTTCTGTGATTCATAAACTTTTGGCAGGTATTTCGTTTCTCGATTACATATTAGAGGTTCTTTCAAATTCTCAGAGGAATTCCCTCAGATTCACAGAATTTATTCCTGAACTTTTAGATGATGGTGATGGTCACACATCCATCACTTCTTACAATTGTCTATACATATATCTATGACTATTTTGTGGATTTTTAATTTCACAAATCCTTGGCACAGTTCTATAAATCTTTCGTCACAGATCTTTGTTTTGTCCACAAATCTCTGAGTCTACAACTCGACAAATTCTTAGTTTCTCTAATCCTTGTACTGGTTTCGACAAATATAGAAACTGCATATTGTTAATTCTACAGAATTTTGATGGTTCAAACATGAATTAGTTAGGCTGACCAAATTATTTTTCGTGTTATAGCGAACAACAAAATATCGAACTGCCCGAGTTCGGACGATATGCGACCGGTATCTTATTCCTTGACAAGAACACCCACAAGGTGGCAGAAGCCGCATTTGAGAAGCTTGCTAAGGAGTGCAATTTAAGAGTAGGATATATCATTATTGTTATCTGTTTGAATGCTTAAATTAACGCATTATTTTACATGCGTTATTTTAAAATACGTTGAATACGATATCGGGCATATTCTCGAGGTCGCGTGATTCGTAGGTGCTGTGTTGGCGTAACGTTCCCACCGATGGCACCCAAATTGGCCGAGTGGCGAAGAAGTGCGAACCGTACATGCGTCAAGTGTTCGTTACCGGCGATCAAGATGCAGAAACGCTTAAACGACAGGTAATTTGCTCAATCCCTAAGGTCGAGTTGTGTCTGAAGTCAATTAGCTCTGGTCAGCGTTCAGTCATATATCTCTCTAAATTCTAGCTTTATATTATAACTAGCAATAAGATCGAAAAATAATTTCAATTAACCAGATTTGTTTAATTGTTTAATCAGCATTAACTGATATTTATATTTCCGGCATTCTTTTACTATTTATTAATCGCTGTACATTCGTTGACAATTAATATTAGCATATTTTGAATACGTTGTCTTCGGAGCCTATTTTGGAAGACCCATTAATTATTAATGAATCGAAAGTTACGCGCGCCGTATCGTGCTCCGAGTTAAACGACTTGGCATTAAACGACTTTGCCAATTTATAAAATTAGAACTCGGATTCGTCGCAGATAGCCGCGATTTTCAAGGTTGAAACGCACACCGACCTTTCGTTTGATCGATTAATTACACGTTTCATCTTTCGTCTTTAATCTTACACATTTCGATCATGTTCTGTTTGTCAGATTTTCGTGCTGAGGAAGAGATCGTCGCATACAATCCCGCGACCAGAATTGCGGTACTACATTTGCTCGTTGTCGTTGAAGACGGTCGTCTACAAAGGTCAGCTCACCGCTGACCAGTTATGGCTGTATTTCACGGACTTGAAGGTGAGTCCGTGAGTTATTTCTGTACTGTTTTTTTTTTTCCTCAAAAAAAGTATCGCTCTTGTCTGGAAGTCTTTACGTAAAATGCATTATGTATGCATTATGCCGTCGTAGAAACAGTAATGTAATATCGCATACATTTTTTTTTCTTTTATATCAGTCTCCGAAATTCGAGACCTATCTGGCACTGGTACACACACGGTTCTCTACAAATACTTTTCCAAGTTGGGAAAGAGCGCATCCTTTACGGTAAGATACTACATAAAATCCCATAAAAATCGCGGATAAAATGACATATTATAAGTGGTCATTTCCAAAAGCTAATTAATCACTTTTAATAATGGGTTGGAAATGAGGAAATATTTGTATTTATTCAATTTCGTTATTTTTCGTTATTTTCCGTTATTATTCTTCGGTCGCTTAGTCATATTGTTCAATTATATTGCTTGAAATTGCTTTAATAACCTTTTTTAATAAAAAAAATTAAATAGACTTTAAAAGTACAAATGGAACTATTCAAATTTGTTCGAGCTTTTTCACGACTGTTACTATACTATATTTACGCGAGCGTTACTTCTGTAGTAACTTAACGATAATTCCTCCGCGTAAATGGGGTTGTGTAGTAACTTATGATAATTCACTCTGCGTAAACGTAGTATGAGTGATAAAGATTCTATTTTAAGCTCTTATTAAACAAGGTCAGCGTAATAATTATCGACTACTTATTTTGTTATAGAACTTTTTTCCTTGTTCAATTTTTCTGCGTATTTTCTTTAATTTCTTTTCAGCATATCAAAAATTCGTGATATTTTGTTTTGTAGACAACGCACTATAAAACTCAATGCTGCTCTCACAGGTTTCGAGTAGTATTTGCGGTAGTCCTTCATTACAGCGATAAATAAAATGTTATCATAATCATAGTTTCCACACAGGACGTTTCAAAACCGCAAATAGTGAGCATCGATATAACGCGCAATGTTTGTTCATAGCTTGCTTGCTCATAACGGCGAAATTAATACCCTGCGCGGCAATGTGAACTTCATGAAGGCGCGCGAGGGTGTGATGAGCAGCCATATATACGGCGATCAGCTGAAACAGTTATATCCAGTCGTAGAACCGAATCTCTCTGACTCTGGATCGGCGGACTGTGTACTCGAGTTCTTGGTGATGGCAGGTCAACGCTCCTTGCCTGAGGTGAATTTACGTTGTGAAATTTACCATAAACGTTTAACATTGAAATATAAAGTGTTGCTATAAATCCTCGATTTTATAGAAAACTGATTTCACAATTTTATGAATCATTATTCTTGAAAATATTTATTTCCACAGATAGTTTCACAGATTTAAATACATTTTCGAAATTTTCCTTGATATTATAAAACTTCGTAATAATCTTTAATCCTTATTCCGTAAATCCTTAGTTTTAAAGGGCATTCTTTCTACTTTTCCTGTCTAGGAATATTCCAACAAAAAAATCCTTGCCTCTGTGTTTGAAACATCAATGTCCTTTTAATACGAAGAATTTACATAACTAAACTGCACTCTTTATTCCATCAATTCTCCGGAGTGCCATATACTACGATCGCTCCGATTCCTTTAATTTCTCAATTTCAAGAATCTCGATCCTCGAACAAACAGTAATGTAACACTTGAAATCATTACTGAATACAGGCTGTCCTGACGATGGTACCAGAGGCTTGGCAGAACGACTTGACGATGGCCACTGAAAAGCGGGAATTCTACCACTGGGCGGCCTGCGCTATGGAACCCTGGGACGGCCCGGCTCTTCTGACCTTCACCGACGGCCGCTACGTCGGCGCTATCTTGGACAGGTAGAAATTTTCTATCTCTCGTTACGTCTTGTTTATCACACGTTTTTACGTAGGCTCCACTTCCCCTCTCGTTCGTGCTATCTGGTAACCCTTGCCATATTTTGTGTTCATAGATCCATGAGTCTGCGACTCCGCGGATCGAAAATGATTCGCGGTTGTGCGGGTTCTTGGATCTTTGACTCCATTGACTTTCAACACTTTGAATCTAGTCGCGCTGACGTTGCACATGCCGCATCTTATATTTCAAAATGTTTCGATGTTAAACGTAAACATCCGATATGAATTCCTTCTTAATATATTATTGTTTCTCTTAAGAATAGCGAAGAGAAATTATTACCAAACATTGTTGACATTAACGACGGGAGTTATATGCGTTGGCTTACATATTAGTTAAAAAAATTCTGAAATTTATAATAAAAATTTATTGGGAGATATCAGATTGTCAAAATGAAATTAATGCGGCAATAAATTAAACTCTTAACTGTCAACGTGTTCAAAAAATGCGAAAGATAAATGTGTATTAATTTGCTATTGCATAAGATTCCCGAAAACCATTGAAAGAATTCACATAAATTCGCTGGAAACTTCACAGGTAAGCAAGTGAATTCTTTTGCATTGAAATAATTCCGAGCAATAGTAAATTAATATCGCAAAGAATCGTCAATGTCACAAGTATCATAAATATTTCTCAAACATGTAATAGAGAAATATCTGTGAAATGTCTAATTTGTAATCAACAAAGAAATAATAAAACCCTTCACAAAATTAAATTCGCGTTGACAGTTTAAATTTAATTAAATTAAAAAGGTCACGCGATTTAATTAACTCTTTGCAGCATTCCTGCAATATTACAGCAGGTACTTTTTTGCTTTTTAATTTTATTTAGTAATTTTATTAATGTAAATTGCTATAAAAGTACTTTCTCGTTATTGGTAAGCTGTTCAAAGCACAGCTCAAAAATAAATGTAGTGAGAGATAGAGTTGCAAAGAATTGAATTGGAGTCGAATTCAAAGTGTTGAAAGCATTCTATTGAAAGAGAAACGAGCCGAACGAAAGGATTCTGCGGTGTCGTTTGTTATGGGAGCCGCGAAGAAAGAATGCTAGGCTACGTGGGCGTATTGCCTACGCTTTGCAAGACGCATTCAGCAGGATTAACGGTGCTCACGAAATATATGAGAACGGTGCACACGTGTAGAGATATTCTCGGGTACAGGTAAACATGGATTTCTAAGGCAAAGGGAAGTCGCGCAATCGAACGAAGGGTAGAAAAATATGCGGAATAAAACGTACAATAAAAATATTCTTCGGGAAAAATAGCAATTTCTTTATAAGAATATTTTTACTAAAAATTGCTTTAGGAAAGTTATTAAAGCTTCCGTTTAATCGAGACACGATTTTATTTTTACACGATAGCAGAAAGCTTACAGTAACAAGCAGCAATCATGATAAATAATATAAAATGCTATTCATTAACTGTCCTAGGATTCTAGAAATGAAGTAATATTACAGATAGAAATTTTCTAAAGAATTTAAAATTGATATATTTATTTATCGAAAATTAGAAATGCATCGTTTTCTGAAATCTTTTAGTTTTCCTATTATATTTAGCAATTAAGCAAATGTCTGTTTTGATAATAAAACTTTGTTTTTTATGCTCTTTTTGTTTTACTTTTGTTTACTAGGCTCTTATTGTTTTTAATTATAAATGATATTGGGTTTATATTTATTATAGTATCCATTTATTTTTGATTTCTTATATCTCAAAGTTTATCAACATTTTAATGAGGAAATAATCGCCTTAATTTGTCTTTTAATGTCCACAGTCAATCTGTAGCATCTTGCAAAACATGAAATTACTATAAAATACGAACAATAATTATTCAGAAAGTGAATGTACAAAAGCTTATAAAAACAAGTAAAAAGAAAACCAGAAAATACGTCAGAAGAATTTCGCGCGACTTCCCTTTGCCCTGCCTTGTTCTTGTACAGCCAAAGCGAGAATCGATATTTACGATTTACTAAGTGTCCATCGTTGTCCCGACGTGCTGCTAACGCAGGTAAATAGGGCCTAGGCCAAGAGACTGAGAGAGCGAGAGAAAGAAAAATGATATAGAGAGCGAAAGAGAGAGAGAGAGTATAACGCGAGTAAGCCAGCAGGAAGGCAGGCAAGCGAACGAACGAACAGCAATGTAGTTCACTCAGCTGATACCTAGCGCGAGACACAGAGGTGGTGTGAAATACAAAAGACCTTTTTGAATTTTTGTTTGGCAGAAACGGCCTGCGCCCGTCGCGCTTCTACGTCACTAAGGATAACATGATGGTGATGGCGTCCGAAGTGGGCGTCTATGATACTCCGCCCAGCAATGTAGTCCTGAAGGTAAACGAAGGAAATATGCGCATCCCAAGCACCAGCCGATTCCACGGGAGTGTCTCTCACTCTGTCTGAGGCAGAGACAGCTAGCTCGCAGCGATTTATGATTTACGCGACGAATCAACCCTCGTATGCTCAATCTTTTCCCCCCAGCCCCCTTTTCTCTCATTTCCGCGCCTATTCTCTACATTTCTCCCCCGATATACAGCAATTTCAGCTAGTCCGGAAGAGCGACCAAGGGGGCCCTTGCGTCCTATCCGGAGAAGTTGGACCCTTTTCCCTCTGGCCAAGGATCTCTCTACGGAAACGACGAAAGAGCCTGCTCGCATTACAATTGTACAAAAGCAATGCTTGCGCATTTAGCTCGCGCGATAAGCCGTCTTGGATTTTTTTAACGTCACTTGAAAGTTTCGCTGTTTCCGAGAGCGGCTTTCGTCGAGATTGTTCAACGGGCGATAACATTGATCGCTTAGAGTGAGCCTTTACTTGGCTACGTTTTTCGAAAATACTCTCTGACAGAGCGACTCTTGTGTATCAGCGAAACTCTCAAACGCCATATCTAGCTTCGAAAACGCGTCTTCTCGCCATCATTCTCGACGGTTCGCATTTGTCTCGTGGTGTGTCGACTGAGTATTATTGTGTCACAAAACAACCCGCTTTGTTGACCTCTCGCTGATTTCTCATTAGAGGAGGAGGAAGAGGAGGTGGCGATACGGCAGAACTCTCTTTATTGGAAGAAAGTCGAGATTTCCTTGACGATAAAATTCCAAGGACAGAATTGGGAGAAAAATATAGCTTGTTGATTCCGCGGGATAATGGTTTTTGCAGATTTACGGCTTGATAATTGCATGCTTACGCAAATTTTGAGTTCCAGAGGTCTTTGGTTATACAAATCGTTGATCATATACGTCCTTGGTTACGTATGTTGCGTCCTCGGCCAGGTTCTTAAATCTATGGGCGTCTTCGTTCTGGGATGCAAGCACCATCATGCGATTTGTTTACTACACAAATCATTTTTTTTATCACCATATTTCATCTATGTCTAACAAATACATTACTCATTACACTTTGGCATCTCTGTCGGAAGCAACAAGCGTATCGTCTCCATCGAGTCCTAACGAGTATAATATTTCGTCCCAAATGATCAATCGAGTGCATCGAGACAGAGTGCTCGTGTATAAATAGACAATAAACAGAGTTCTACCATGCGGACGAGAATAAAGCAATTCACATTTTAAACGCTCGTCGGATAATTTTGTGCGAATTCTATAGATCTCAGATATTACGAAACAATGTAATGTACTGGCACTCTGCTTTTACACTGGCCGATGATCACCAATGCCAGCCATTGAGCCGATCATCACTGACTTCATCCAGGATACGGTAATCCTCAAATGTATATTTTTTGCACACATTTTTCTTTCGTTCCTCTAATAAGGCTGCAGAAATGTCACATTCGAGGATTAAAGGTAAATCGATATCCAATGAGTCGGTAAGGGCAGACTGTCATCGATCGATTCGCAATACCTACTCGCTGTATGTTAGTATACATGTATAATAGCTAATCACATATATCGTATTTTATTTATTTTTTGATCATGTATCATGTATGATGTATAATTTGTCATCTAGGGACTAGGTTTGTATAGAGCTGTAGGACCGTCATCCAGTGCTGTCATATGAATGTCGATCATCGACGTGTCGAACCCGTTCTATGGCGATTATTGGTGTACTCTTTTATTTGCAGAGTCGCTTGAAGCCCGGCCGGATGCTTCTCGTTGACACCGAAGAGAAGAGGATCATACAGGATGTCGAGCTGAAGTTGCAGATCGCTCGAAACAGGCCTCATTCCAAGTGGCTCAAGGAACAGGTAGCTAAACGTTTTTTTCCCCAACCGAGGATCAATTCGCGATCAATTGTCACATTATCGGCGTCGACATTTCAAATATTACTCTTCTGAGAATAAGGCCGAATTTTAAGTGCTATTTAAAAAGATTATATTATTACTCGAGATAAAAGTTAAACAATTTTTCTATTATGATGCTTGTTTAATGCCAATTACGAGACACTCCTGTATATAACTTCCTGTATGTAATGTTTTATACATAAGATATGTATGTTAAATTTAACGTGCTTGCATGAAGAATATTATTGCACATTATTATACCTATAGGCCAACTCGAAAATTAAGTAACTCTCATCGCTTTTCCCCCTCATCATATATATCAATTACTCAATAAATTAATACACCTAATTAGTCAACTAACGCATTCTAAAGTCATCAAGTATCACAATGTTACTTTTTCATTAAATATTTAACTCAGGAATTCCGTTGGTTTTAATGAAAATTGCAATAATATGATTGTGTTAGAAAAATTTTCATCGAAGTCGTCACAAGAAAAATTTCTAACGCAAAACTAACTTTTTTTTATACTGCTGTACATGCTGTATCGTCGATATGCAGAGGGTGAGTCGTTCTAATCATACCATTTTAAGTATGTTGATTTCTTTCGGTGTACAGGTGGAGGTAGCAATACAATAGAAGAATACAAATTAGTATGTATAGTAGGTAGTAGTATAGTAAAAATATATTATGAATGAATAAGTAGAAGTATCCGCGAAAATATCTCAGATAATTTTTTTTGCATGAAGGTTTGCCACATCTATTAACTTTATCTTTAGTGGAGGCAAATTAGACCAAAAAAGTGCGTTATCTCGGAACCGGTTAAAACTACTCGGATTTGAACTTTTTTTTTTATGTAGATAATTAAAAACACTACAATGTTTATGGGTTAAAAATTGACGCTTTTTTTATTAAATAAATGTATTAAATAAATTTATTAAATAAACAATTAGCGTCAATTTTTAACCCATAAACATTGTAGTGTTTTTAATTAGCTACATTTAAAAAAAAAACGTTCAATCCGAGTTTTAACCGGTCCCGAGATAAAAACCTAATTTGCCTCGACTACTTTTCGTATTTCAGTTGTTAGCTAACTTATTAATTAACTGATCAATCGCTAACAGAACTTCCGATTTGATATCTGCTTGTGCTCGATCATAGAAAACATACATCCAATTGCGGTACCACACAGTTTACTTTTCAACCTTTTTTAAGACACTCTTAGTTTCGGCAACTAGTTTTTATTGGTGATGCTGTTTTGAACGCAGATCACCATGGAGGAATTGCGCGCCGCACATGTTCGCAACAGCAGTGCAGGGGACGTAATCGAGAACGGTCTATCCGCCGAGACAGCCACCGCAAAAAAGAACGCTATCAACGGCGTTAACGAAGTTTCGGCCGTGAATAAAGTTTGGAGCGGCGACAAACGGCTCTCTCTTTACTGTTATACTCTGGAGACTATCAATTTATTGCTTCTGCCCATGGTGCAAACCAAGTATGTATACCATAAATTTTTCCCTATCAACACCACATTTCGTATGTCTGATATTTCATATACAATAACAAATAAGTAAAAACACTAAATTCGTGTAAATTCAAAGAATTACTTATTATAAATTTAATGTAATTAAACGATACTCTTCGATATTATTTTCGACGTTTGTGGCGGTATACGCCACCAGCAATACCCATTTTACGGTTACCAAATAATGATATTTTAATTAATAATAAATATTCACGAACAATGAAAATTGTCTTTCAGGAAAGAAGCGTTAGGATCTATGGGCAATGACGCTCCCCTGGCGTGCTTGTCTGAATTCCAACCATTGATATATGAATATTTCAAGCAATTATTCGCGCAGGTAGACCAAAATTGAACTATCGTTAATTTAAAACAAAAAATATAATAGAAAAGTGAAGAAAGAAATTATAGAAATTAGTTTAACAATTAATTAAGTATGATCTAACATATATCTTTGATACGTTAACACATCTCTCGATTACGATTTCTATATAGGTAACGAATCCACCGATCGATCCATTCCGCGAAAAGATCGTAATGTCCATGCTTTGCCCAATCGGACCCGAGAGTAACATTCTGGAGCCGAACGAGTTGCAAGTACATCGCCTATTCCTGCCCCAACCGATACTGTCTCTGAGTGATTTTGAGGTCCTCAAGCACACGACCCATCGTAATTGGAGAACAAAAGTGATCGATATCACTTACCCTGTTCAAGACGGGCCCGGTGGTTTGCTGAAGACGCTGGATCGCGTTAACAGTGAGGCTAATGTGGCCGCTAGGGAAGGTTATCAGCTCCTCGTACTATCCGATCGACAAGGTGGCCCGACAAGGTGAGCTCGATTTGTAAATCAAAATATCGATATATTCTAAACTGATCTTGAAGGAAATGGGAAACTAGAATTCATATCTGTTTTGTTGACTTTAGAGTTCCGGTAAGCAGCCTGTTAGCTTTGGGCGCTGTTCATCATCATTTAATCGAAGAGAGACAGCGAATGAAGGTCGGTCTCATATTGGAAACCGCCGAGGCTCGAGAGGTGCATCATATTTGCGTGCTACTTGGTTACGGAGCAGATGCCATATGTCCTTACTTGGTATTCGAGATGGCGAAAAATCTGAGGGCGGATCACGTTTTCGATGAAACCTTTACTGATGATGTTATTTTTAAGGTAAATCTTACAAAACAAAAATTATTGTTTGAAGATGTTAATGATAAGAAGAGCTTTCTTGTTTGAATATGAAAGATAAAAATGTAAATTATCTAATTGTTTAAATTCTGTAGAATTACGCAGAAGCTATGGAACGAGGAATTGCGAAAGTGATGGCCAAGATGGGAATCTCGACCTTGCAATCCTACAAAGGAGCGCAGATATTTGAAGCAGTTGGATTGGCCGACGAAGTCATCGATAAATGCTTCAAGGTATTTTTCATATTATAGCCTAAATCGGCCTAACAATAAGATAATACGAGAAAAATATATTCATATATTCTATCATTAAAAATAGTTTTTAATAAATAAATAAAACACACACACACACACACACACACACACACATATATTTTTTAAATGTTTTTAATTTTTTAAATATTTATAATCACAAAATAAGTAAATTATAACTTTTTTTAAGTATTGTTTTGTATATTATTTTATTTTTCAGATGCAAATGATTAATACTTGGATCCAATTAATGATTATTTAATGATTCAAACTTTTTAATGATGCATCTTAGTAAAACTTTATTTATTTTGTTGCAATATATCGTTAAACAATATTATCTTTAATTGCAAATCATGCATATTCGAATTTTTCAGGGTACTCATTCTCGTATTGGCGGCGTGACATTCGATATTTTGGGCAAGGAGGCGTTCGAGCGGCATCAAATAACGTATTGGGACAAACCAATGGATTTGCTGGTCATTCGCAATCCAGGAGTTTATCACTGGCGAGCCGGTGGCGAGAAACATATCAATGATCCCGCGAGCATTGCTAGTTTACAGGTAATGAAGACATTTTCAGACATAATATCTTAAAAACTAACTTAAACATTGAAAATTTACTATAAGAAACGTAATTGTGTGCAAATTCTTTATCCTAAAAAAATATATAAAATACATTTTTCTTTAACAATCTTTTTTTCGCTAGGAATATGTTGTCTCCAAAAACAACTCTGCTTATGAAAATTATCGCAAGACCACGATGGAAGTGGTGAAGGCTTGCACTCTGCGCGGCCAACTCGAACTGAAGAATTCACGCGATCCGATTCCCGTCACGGACGTGGAACCCGCGTCGGAAATTGTGAAACGTTTCGCGACTGGCGCGATGAGTTTCGGCAGCATTTCCTTGGAAGCTCACAGTACTCTGGCAATCGCCATGAACCGCATCGGTGGCAAGTCGAACACCGGCGAAGGTGGTGAAAACGCGGACAGGTATGATCAAGAAGAAAAGATAATAAAAGATTGTATGATCTAAAGAGTTTAAGAATGTCGAACGTCTCTTATAAAATTATTATTACAATTATTGCGACTAATTAACAATATCAGATAAACCTGTAACCAACTGTTTATCGTTATCCGACAGATACCTAAACCAAGATCCGGAGTTTAGCCAGCGTTCATCTATCAAACAAGTAGCGAGTGGTCGCTTTGGCGTTACTGCCAGTTACCTGGCGAATGCGGACGACTTGCAGATCAAGATGGCACAGGGCGCGAAACCCGGTGAGGGCGGCGAGCTTCCTGGTTATAAGGTCACCGCGGAGATTGCTGCCACCAGGCACTCGGTACCTGGGGTCGGTTTGATCTCGCCGCCACCGCATCATGACATCTATTCGATCGAGGATCTGGCCGAGCTGATTTACGATCTCAAGTGCGCCAATCCATACGCCCGTATCTCCGTCAAACTTGTGTCTGAGGTCGGAGTGGGCGTCGTCGCCGCCGGCGTCGCCAAAGGCAAGGCCGAGCACGTAGTGATATCCGGCCACGACGGCGGCACCGGCGCCAGCAGTTGGACCGGCATTAAGTCCGCCGGATTACCCTGGGAATTAGGCATCGCCGAGACGCATCAGGTGTTGACCCTGAACAATCTGCGGTCGCGCATGATTGTCCAGGCGGACGGCCAGATGCGCACGGGTTTCGACATTGTGGTGGCTGCGCTGCTTGGTGCGGATGAATTCGGCTTCAGCACCGCCCCGCTAATCGCAATGGGCTGCACAATGATGAGAAAGTGCCACCTGAACACCTGTCCAGTAGGCATCGCCACGCAAGATCCGGTGTTACGAAAGAAATTCGAAGGCAAGCCGGAACATGTGATCAATTTCTTCTTCGCGTTGGCTGAAGAGGTAGGAACGACTTACAATTAGATATTTTCAATTTGACATCTTCCATTTATCTTGATGTTTAGCCACTGCTTGATTTCTTTGTTTTGTACATATTATGCGCTTGTACTGGTATTATTTTCATATTCTTATTTATTCTTTTAAATATTTTTTGTTCTCAAAATGATTATTGAGCCGGAGTGTTAATTAAATGAGATTCTTATAATTAAAATTGGGAAACTTGAATATATAATATATAAATATATAATATAATTTAATTCTTGATTTAATTTTTATAAATACAAAGTATTATTTTAAAGAGTCTATTAGATTTATCTATTATTTTTCTTGTTTCTGCAGGTACGTTCGCATATGGCGAACCTGGGCATCCGCAAGTTCCAGGATCTAATCGGACGCACAGACCTCCTTAAAGTACGTGACGACATCTCTGTTGAAAAAGCCAAGACCCTAAATCTCAGCAATGTACTGCGAAACGCGCTGGACTTAAGACCCGGCGTAAATATCAAGGGCGGCACCGTAAAACAAGACTTCCAACTGGAGAACAGACTCGACAATAAACTAATTGAACTAGCCGAACCTGTTTTAAATGGAGTACACACTCGAGCTGACATCGAAATGAATATCAACAACGAATGTAGGGCATTCGGATCGACGCTGAGTTATCATGTAGCCAAGTAAGTATGTCGATATTCCCGAGTTCAGATAAAAAATCAACGAAGCAAAACTGATACATAATTTATATCGTTTACCAATAATTTTAACTTTCTTATTTTCATTTATCTTGTAATTGCTTCGCAGACGATTTGGAGATGACGGATTGCCCGAGCATAGCATCAATATCAAGATGAAAGGCTCTGCGGGTCAGAGTTTCTGCGCTTTCATGACAAAGGGTATTCATGTCACTCTTGAAGGCGATGCTAACGATTACGTCGGCAAAGTAAGCACGAGTTTCTTTTAAACTTTTGAATTTGCGACACAAATAATCTATACATAATTTCATATTGATCCAATCAAATATTGTTGGATCAAATATTGTCATATTGTATCGTATTAAATACGATACGTATCTAAATACTAAAAACTTAACTGTTATTAATATTCTCTTGTATAGAAGAAATAAATAATTTTATTTGCAGGGTCTCTGCGGAGGTGAAATTGTCATATACCCGCCGAAGGACTCCGAGTTCAATTCGGAGGGAAATGTGATCGTCGGGAATGTCTGCCTTTACGGCGCTACTTCCGGAAAAGCCTACTTCCGCGGCATCGCTGCCGAAAGATTCAGTGTGCGTAACAGTGGGGCGGTTGTTGTGGTGGAGGGTGTGGGTGATCACGGTTGCGAATACATGACCGGCGGTTGCGCCTTGATCCTAGGTCTTACTGGTCGAAATTTCGCGGCTGGAATGTCCGGTGGAATCGCATACGTCTTGGATGTCGACGGCTCCTTCAAGAGCAAGTGCAACCCCGAAATGGTGGAGTTGCTATCGCTCAACAACCCAGAAGAAATCGCCTATGTGAAACAACTACTGGAAGAGTTCATCGAAAAGACCGGTTCGTTGATCGCACAAGATTTACTCGCCACATGGCCGGAACCCACCACGAGATTCGTCAAGGTCTTCCCTTACGAGTACCAGCGAGCTCTCAAACAGCTGGAGGAGGCAAAGCAACAAACACCCAACGTAATTAACGGTAACGCACAGATAACGAACGGCAAGATCAAAGATATAGAGGATTCAATAGAAGACGCAGATATGGCACAGCGAAAGTTGGACAAGATCAAGGGCTTTATGAAGTACTCAAGGCAGAAGGCCATGTACAGACCGGTCGAAAAGCGTGTAGAGGACTGGGATGAGATATACAACTTCCAGGGTGTCAGGAAGACTCTGCGAGTACAAGCGGCAAGGTGCATGGAGTGCGGCGTTCCATTTTGTCAGAGCAGTCACGGTTGCCCGTTGGGCAACATCATTCCTAAGTGGAATGATCTCGTATTCCACAACAACTGGAAGGAGGCCTTAAATCAATTGTTGCAAACTAATAATTTTCCTGGTGAGTCAATTTATGTGAGAAATTTTTTATTAAATACAAATATTCCCCCCTTGGTTCCATTTTTTACACATAAAAATTGTACTTTTCATATATAATAACTTTCTATTGCATTTATTATTATTTAACAGGAATAACTTTTCTCTATTCTTTTTTCTCTGTCAATTATTTTTTTCAATCTTATCTTTTTATATATATTCATTTATATATTTTATCAATCAATTGTAGATAATTATATCTAATCTTTTGAAATTAAATAATCTAGAGTTTACCGGAAGGGTCTGCCCCGCACCTTGCGAGGGTGCATGCGTCCTAGGAATCTCCGAACCACCGGTGACAATCAAGAATATCGAGTGCGCCATAATCGATCACGCGTTTGAGCAAGGTTGGATCGTGCCTCAACTACCGACCAGAAGAACTGGACGATTAGTAGCTGTAATCGGATCCGGTCCCGCGGGACTGGCCGCTGCTCATCAACTGAACAAAGCGGGTCACACGGTGACCGTGTTCGAAAGAAACGACAGAATCGGTGGGTTGCTGCAATACGGTATACCGACGATGAAACTGTCCAAACAGGTCGTACAAAGAAGAGTCTCTCTGCTCGCCGCGGAGGGAGTCATCTTCAAAACGAACGTCGATGTAGGCAAGGATATTACAATGCAGGTAAGCGAGCGTGTTTGAGATGACAATTTTTCTTAAAACCTTATATATATCATTATAATTGTATAAAAGAGAAAATTTGATAATATTTTTACCATTTGTATATCCATCATATATACTATATACTATATACTATATACTATATACTATATACTATATACATATGGCAAATATAAAAATTATATTCTCATTTCTATAATATTTATACACTCTAATAGATCTCTTCATTTTCTATTTGAACGACGGTGCTCATACCCAAAATATCATTCATTTATTTATATAACATAATTCTCCGACACTCACGCATGTATATTATTGCAGGAACTTCAAGAACTGTACGACGCGATATTGTTGTGTACAGGCGCGACATGGCCGCGAGATCTGCCGATTCCAGGTCGACAGCTGGAGGGAATTCACTTTGCCGTGAGTTTCCTAGAGCACTGGCAGAAGAAACAAATGGGTAACACAGCACCCCTAAATATGCGACTGATAGCCAAGGGCAAAGATGTTGTCATCATAGGAGGCGGCGACACCGGATGCGATTGTATAGCAACCTCGCTACGTCAGGGCGCGAAGACGATAACGACCTTCGAAATCCTGCCCGAACCGCCAGCCCAGAGGGGCAAGGATAACCCGTGGCCTCAATTCCCACGAGTGTTCAAGGTTGATTACGGTCATGAGGAGGTATCCCTGAAATTTGGCCGAGATCCGCGTAGATACAGTACGTTGAGCAAGGAATTTTTGGACGACGGAAAAGGCCACGTGAGTGGCATCAGGACGGTAACTGTGGAATGGCGAAAGGACGAGAATGGTCGATGGAAGATGGAGGAGGTACCAAATTCAGAGAAGGTGTACAAGTGCGATCTAGTATTGCTCGCCATGGGCTTCCTCGGACCCGAGAAGTACATCGCCACGGAAGTGAAAGCCGAATTGGATGAAAGAGGAAACTATAAGACTCCGGGCGGGAAATATTGTACTAGTTTACCCAAAATATATGCAGCAGGCGGTTAGTATATAATATTATTGCGTTAAATACATCATACAAGAAAAATTCTGCTTCTTTTATTATATCTATAATGTATAGGTTCAGTTTTGCCAAGAAAAAATTGCCCAGATCTTGCATTTATTACAAATTTAGTGTTATAATTTTAAAAAATCTTATCATCTTATTTGCTTTTATTAGAATTATAATATATATTCTTTAAAACGTTTAACTTATGATGTAACTTTCTGCCTTGTACTCTACACAAACTTTTGATTACAAAAATTCATTGTAAATTATAACTGATAATATTATAATTCTCATTAATCGTTGAAATTGATTTAAATATAAATTACAAAGGCATAAATATTATATATTTGTTATTACATGTAATTTGTAAAATAGATTGCAGACGTGGACAGTCTCTCGTAGTATGGGCGATCGCAGAAGGTAGATTGGCCGCGAAGGAAGTTGATTTGGCCTTGATGGGAGACACCGGCCTTCCCGGAAACGGTGGTATAATCAGCGTTAACGCTTAAAGGACCTTCACGATGGATGTTGGTCTTCCAATTTAAACAAGAAAAGATCCACCGTGCACGCGTACTGCGAGGAAAGAGTCATATCGACTATTAGAAGGCAAGGAGGGAGTTCCTTGGAGATCCATGGATGTGAGCTCCAGGATCCGAGGATTCGAAAGTTCCATGAATCCAAGGAGATACAAGCCTAGAATCGTAGAGTTCAGAAATCCAAGAGTCCGAAGGATGTAACGTTCAGGAATCCGCGGATTCAAACTTCCAGCAATCCAATGATTTATAGCTCCTAAGATGTGGAAGATCGAAGAATTCTCTTAGGACTAAACAAATGACTCTAAAATTTAAAGAATTGAACATCCAAAAACCTTGAGAACCTGAAGACCAGAAAATTCGTGTATTCGAATTTTATGACATCTAAGAATTAGGTCTTAGGATTCCGAGGGTTCAAATAATCAAGAATCTAACAACGAGAACACTAGAAAAGCAAGTTCCGGCATTCACAGATACGAAAATTGAAGAGTTTAAAGAATTAAGGATTTTGAAATATGGAAAAATAAAGGATTATATAATGACATATGTATCTCAAAATTGCAAGACTTTAAGAATCCTTTCAAAAAGTTGTGAAAACTAATAATTTGAAGATACGGAAATTTTAGCCAAGAAATTGGAAAATATTATATTTAACAATTTTTTTAATCATACCTAAGTTATGATAAAAATCTAATAATTTCATGATTTGCAGATATAACAGCTCTAAAAATTTAACATCGGTCAAATAGAAAATAAGAAAAATTTTAGAAATTTTAAATCACAAATCTACAATAATTGCAGATTTAGAAATTCAAAAATCTGCTATATTTACGGCTGTTTACAAACTAAAAATTGGAGAAATTAAAGAGCTTGGAATTCGAGTATTTGCAAGTCCAAGCGATTAAAAGCATTCGAGGATTTAAGAATTGAAAGATTCTCAGACCTCGAACTGAGGATGTGATAATCAAGTGAGAAACGAGAAACAGAGTAAGAGAATTTTTGTGGCGCGAATCTCTTCGTATCAGAGCAACGGCAAATAAACGTAATTCCTCCGTAACGTAGTAAACTCGTTCAAGCATCTCGTTCGTCCAATTAGAATTAATCACACGCGAAAGAATTAGAGCTTTGAGTATAGTGAAAGATACGAGCTGGTAGCAGGATCTACGTAAATCCGCATACGAATTTATATTAGACCGGTATACTTCATCAACTAAAATGTTTTTTTTAACATGCAACTGCAAATCTATTATTTTAAAAATAAAAATTGAAGAGAGATGTTTTAGTAAAACTTTATTCATAAAGTACCTATATGAAACGTTGTTCTAGCTTTCCAAAACAAATACTGAAAAAGCAGAAATATTCTCAATTATCTAACATACTGTTTAGATACTTTAAATGCAATTATAAATTTATTCCTTTACAGGAACAAAACGTTCGATTGTAATGATTAACGAAGTTTATGTGTAAGTACAAAAAGTATTCGTATATCGCCATTTTTCCTCTGTACGTTTTAATTAGCAATTAAGAATGTAAACACGAATAGATCATAAAGCGTTATACAATAAAATAATATTCATGCATTATCATCTTTGTTTCTCTGAATCTCATTCTATTAGTCAATAATAGATAAACTCAACACCTAAAAAAATATAGATATTACGTATATGTAAAATGTTTAGATATAAATATTAATATGTGCTGCATCATTCATAAAAATTGCAACCGATAACATATATTTGTAACGTTTATTATTTTATTAGTAGTATGATAAAAATATTTGTATAATTAAAGATTATTTCTTTGGTAGATTTTATATTATTCCATTATTATCGGGTATTAAAACGAATATTCTTCAGAAGAAAATCTGAAAATTATAAACTTAATAAAACAATTTGCTTTAGAATAGTTTTATTTAAAAACCAAATTATTACTTAAAAACTAAGGATACGAAGAATAAAAATTTTCTCACGGAGATTTGTTTCGCCTTTCTTTTTTAATGTATGATGGGCAATTAATTACTATCGCAAAATAAAATGATGGCATACGAATACTTTTATGGTACACTAATTTTTTTCGTTCATTTTCAGTATATGATTACAAGTATTTTTAGCGTTCTTGGGCATTCGCCTAGGTTGCCTAGCGTATTATTACGAATCTGCTTATATTGTCGGTGAAAAAAGTTACACAAATTACCGAAAGATCATGCTATAATATAAATAATAAGAAGACGATGTAGCACTTGTATTGTATATGTCGTTCACTGCAATTCCATAATAATAATAATTCTGTCAATTAATTCACAGTCGAATTTTTGCAAGCGAATAGAAAACGAGATCGTTTAACCCTTTAACCGCACATCTATAATTACGATTAAGCACAAACTTGATCATAAATTAATTGCTTATAAACTCTATTAAAATAATCGTGACATTCTTAAAGTTTAGTTATAATCTTTAATTTAATTTACCATAAAAATTATATATGATTCAAATATAAACAATATTCGAAATTTATTGTAATTCATTATATCTAATTATGTAAAGGGTGATTGAGTTATTTTTAATCAAACAATATTGAATCGAATAATCATCTTAGTTTTAATTCAAATATAATTGTTGCAAATAATAAATTCATATTTAAATTTAAGTAGAATTAAAGTAGAATAAAGTAAATCAACAACCTCGGTTAAAGGGTTAATATCGAACGATAACTTAATTGAACATTTTCAACGCTTTCGTAAGCTAAAAATATTATTGAATTGCATTTATATAAATTGCAGTTTCACTTATATCGCATCATATCGTATATCGTATCAAGAAGAGAGCGTTAGTGCTTCTAATTACGTTTTCGTAAAGTTTACAGTTTCGAAAAAGAAAATCTGCAGCTAGGCCTTAAATTAGAAATTTATTATCAACGAAAAGAAGTTAACGTTTCATATTTAGACGCGATTTATTTCTAATGCAATTTACGTTTTTATTGATAGCCTTGTAAATTTCAATACATACAATATCTTGAGACAATAAATATATATTGAATGTTACGAGCGATATCGTCATTGGCCTTTTGTTCATAGCAATTTTTTAACCCACTTTGCGTGCTCATATTACACACACAATATTTTGCCGTCTATTAACTTACAAATTCAATTCAAATCAAATTCAAATCAATGAAAATAAATTCTGTTGTTCGATATTCTTCTAAGAACAGTTTTTGCTTATAATCCTCAACGCGAAATAAATTAACATAAATGAAGAGGACACTATATATATATATTTTTTTGCCTGAACTTCTGTAGTAATAAATAAACTCTCCCCATTTATATCGATCTTTCAAGACGTTACTTGTTTATTAAAATGGTACATATGGATGGACTATTCTTCGTTGACTTCGAAATTTTATTAGGATCAAAATAGTTCTTGAAAAACGACTGAAGAAAGAAATGCTAAGGAATTCGCGGCGCAACAACGAATCGACGAATTCTTTGCACGTGTCGCGCGTCTCCGAAATCGCCGAAGAGTTCTCGCCTCCGCCCTCTCGCATTCCAACGGCGAAATGGCAGGAAATAATGGAAAACGAACGCGCCAGCCATGTCGTCGGCTTCATCCGCGAGAAACTCGTCCGATCGGCCACGGACGCGATCTGCGAAGGTTATTTACGAAGGGCGGTCTACGATTTCGTTGTCAATTGCGCGTACGAGGCTTGGATGCGCGCGTTTCGGGTAAAATTCGCGAAAAGTGTCAGATGCGCAAAACATTGTTAAATTCGTGTCAAAAAGTTATACCCAATTTGAATGATTTTTAACCATTCCCATATGTCGTTAATTTGACTAATGTAATGTCCATTTTTACCAATGTAGATTAACTTTAATCTCGGTTTAACTTACTTTCTATCTCTATCTAACTCTTAAAATTAGAAAAAGATGAAAGGTAAATTAAACCGAGATTAAAGTTAATCTGCGTTGATAGAAATGGACATAAAACAGTATTGATTTAACTAAATCAATATAGCTAAAATAATAGTTTTGTGTTAAAATAAGGAATTTCGACACACACATGGTAGTTGAATGTAACGAAATGTTGTTTAACTGAAAGTATTGGTTTAATTTTTAACAATGTTTAATATTTAACAATGAGCGATGCATTTGCACATCACGGTTTACGTATCATAATCGACCACATTTTAATTCACAGTGGGCGCATCTGGAGTACGATAATCGGGGGATGTCGAACGGATGCCCCGTTCCGGATGAGGCACCGACGCTGGTCGCGAAACATCCCCGATCACATCGCGGTGTCCCGACGGTATACGGACGACTCGCGAAATTGACCGCGAGTCGAAAATCGTCGAGCCGTCGCGGGGCGACCTACGCGAAAAGTACGTTGCACGGACGGGGCGGACGATCGAGTACGAAGATCCGTAATTAGAATAATTACGCGATTTGGTTAAGGAAAGCCTGTAGCTTTCGGTCCCATTATGTTCTATATATGTGTGTATATCTGCATGTATGTGTGTGAAATAATTAATTACTTTTCCAAACCCCCGACGAGATACTAAGGTTGCTAAATTCGAAGCGGCGAGGAAATCGCTCGCGCCTTTGGTATAATTAGCGCGGGACCATCAATTAGGCTAATAAGGCTAATAAGAATAAAAATTAACGGGAGATAAGAACAATGAGGCTAATAAGAATAAAAAATGACGAGAATGAGTACTTCAAGATCGGGGATCAGAAAATTGTGTGATGAAAAGCGTCAATTAAATCATAATTACAATTAACAATGACGCGCGCTCGTTGCCGTTGATGAACGAGCGACGATTACTCACGCAAATGCAGGCAATGATTTTTTTTACTCACCGTGGTGCGCCGCGCAGCTGTTCCTTCCGCGCCAACTTCGGGTCGAAATACCGCCTGAACCGCCTCGGAGCTCGGAGCTCCGCGGAGCTCGGAACACTCGTTCCAAACTTCGTACACGAGTCCGATTGCTAATCGGCTAATTACGCGCGACGATTGATACGTCTCGACGATCGCCCGACACTTTGCTCCCGGCACCCGCGACATTCGTTTAGCGCGCGCGTTTC